CACGCACACACACGCACGCACACACACAACACACAACGCACAACACACAACGCACAACGCACAACACACAACACACAACACACACAACACACACACACAACACACGCAACACACACACACCACACACACCACACACGCCACACACACCACACACCACACACCACACACACACCACACACACCGCGCACACAACACACACACGCAACACACAACACACAACGCACGCACAACACACACCACACACAAACCACACGCACCACACACACCACGCACACCACACGCACACCACAAACGCACAAGCCACCACACCACACGCACAAAAGGACCCACCGCAACCCAGCACACGCACACACACACACACACACACACAGCACACCCGAAACGCCACCCGCGCGCGCCCGCACGCACCCGCGCACGCGCACGCCAACGCGCAAACGCGCCACAGCGCAACGCACGCGCACGCGCACTCGCACGCCACGCGCGCGCGCCGCGCACGCGCACGCGCACGCGCCACCGCGCAGCGCGCCACGCGCGCGCGCACTGCGCACCGGCGCACCGCGCGCGCGCACGCGCACAGCGCGCAGCGCGCACCGCCGCCACTAGCGCGCTACGCGCGCCTCTCTGGAACAAAAGGCGCGCACGCGCGCACGCGCGCACGCGCGCACGCGCGCACGCCCGCGCACGCACGCGCACGCACGCGCAGGCACGCGCAGGCACGCGCACGCACGCGCACGCATGCGCACGCACGCGCTCGCACGCGCTCGCACGCGCACGCACGCGCACGCACGCGCACGCGCCCCCGCGCACCCCCGCGCACCCCCGCGCACCCCCGCGCACCCCCGCGCACACCCGCGCACACCCGCACACACACGCACACACACGCACACACACGCACACACACGCACACACACGCACACACACGCACACACACGCACGCAAACGCACACACACGCAACTGCAAACGCACACATCAACACACGCACAACACACACACACCGCACACGCCACGCCACGCACACTCACACGCACACGCACACGCAGAAACGCAACGACGCACACCCCACACTCACAACTTCCCGCGCTCAAACGCAACACGCACGACGCACTACAACCGGCCACGACGCACACGCACCACCACACGCACACGCACTCGCACACGCACGACGCGCACCACACAGCGCGCGCACGCGCGCGCGCAGACGCGCACGCGCACGCGCACCGCGAACGCGCACGCGCACGCGCGCGCGCACGCGCACGCGCACACGCACACGCACACGCGCACGCCACGCACCGCACACGCACACGCACGCGCAACAACGCAACACGCACCGCAACGCGCCAACACGCACACGCACACGCACACGCACCCGCACACGCCCAAACACAGGCACAGGCACAGGCACACGCACATGCACGCACGCACACGCAAACGCAAACGCACCCGCACACGCACGCGCATGCGCACACGCACACGTAGACGCGGACGCAAAAGCACACGCACACGCACACACACACACGAACACGCACACGCACACGCACACGCGCACACGCACGCGCACGCGCACGCGCACGCGCACGCGCACGAGCACGCGCACGCGCACACGCACACGCACACGCACACGCACACGCACACGCACACGCACACGCACACGCACACGCACACGCACACGCACACGCACACGCACACGCACACGCACACGCACACGCACACGCACACGCACACGCTCACGCACACGCACACGCTCACGCACACGCACACGCTCACGCACACGCACACGCACACGCACACGCACACGCACACGCACACGCACACGCACACGCACACGCACACGCACACGCTCACGCACACGCACACGCACACGCACACGCACACGCACACGCACACGCACACGCACACGCACACGCACACGCACACGCACACGCACACGCACACTCACACCCACACACACACACACACACACACACACACACACACACACACACACACACACACACACACACACACACACACACACACACACTCACACGCACACGCACACGCACACGCACACGCACACGCACACGCACACGCACACGCACACGCACACGCACACGCACACGCACACGCACTCGCACGCGCACGCGCACGCGCACTCGCACGCGCACGCGCACGCGCACGCGCACGCGCACGCGCACGCGCACGCGCACGCGCACGCGCACGCGCACGCGCACGCGCACGCGCACGCGCACGCGCACGCGCACGCGCACGCGCACGCGCACGCGCACGCGCACACGCACACGCACACGCACACGCACACGCACGCGCACACGCACACGCACACGCACACGCACACGCACACCCACACCCACACGCACACGCGCACGCGCACGCGCACGCGCACGCTCACGCGCACGCGCACGCGCACGCGCACGCACACCCCCACTCACACGCACACGCACACGCACACGCACACGCACACGCACACGCACACGCACACGCACACGCACACGCACACGCACACGCACACGCACACGCACACGCACACGCACACGCACACGCACACGCACACGCACACGCACACGCACACGCACACTCACACACGCACACGCACACGCACACGCACACGCACACGCACGCACACGCACACGCACACGCACACGCACACGCACACGCACACGCACACGCACACGCACATGCACACGCACACGCACACGCACACGCACACGCACACGCACACGCACACGCACACGCACACGCACACGCACGCACACACACACACACTCACACGCACGCACGCACGCACGCACACACACACACACACACACACACGCACACACACACACATAAACATAAACATAAACTTTTGGCGCCCCGCGTGGGTTTCTTGGGTCCGGTCCTGGGCCCCCCAGCGGCGCCTCCGGCGCCGCCCCTGGCGCGCTCCGCGCGCCAGGGGGGGGTCCAGCGTCCAAGAAACCCACGGGGGGCGCCAAAAGTTATTGCTTGTGTTTTTGCTCCGTCTCTCCTAGACCTGTAGGAGAACGTGCCAAAATCCGGGACGGGAGGACCTCCTCCTCCTCCTCCTCCTCCTCCGCGGCCCAGGCCTCCGCCCGCAGAGGCCCAGCAGGAGGAGGAGGAGGAGGAGGAGGAGGAGGAGGAGGAGCAGGAAGAGGAGGAGCAGGAGGAGGAGGAGGAGGAGGAGGAGCAGAAGGAGCAGGAGGAGGAGGAGGAGGAGAACTGCCTGTAGGAGGACCTCCTGCAGGCGGTTTTTCTCCCCAAAACTGCCCGTAGGAGGACATGCCCGACCTGAATCTGGGTCGGGGAGCCTGGTCGTGGCCTGTGCCAGCCGTGGCCAGGAGAGGGCCCTTCGTGCCTCCTCCCTCCAGCGACCGTTCGTGGTGGCACGGTGGCTGCGCGCAGGCTCACGATAAGTTCACGCGTCGTGTCGACCAGTGGCGACCCCGACGCCGGCGTTCAACGTTGAACGCCAGCGGCGGCCCAGAATCGGTCGATGTTGAACGATCGGACGTTGCGGAAAGGGCCGATCGTTCAGCCACGGTCACGCGCAGAGGGGGTGGGGGGAGGGGAGAGGGCTTCTCAGAAGGCGCGGGCCTTATCTACAGATGTAAGTCTCGCGCCTTCTAAGAAGCAGCCTCCTTCTAAGAAGCCCTCCCCCCTCCCTCCACCCCCTCGTGCGCGCCGCCAAATAATTCAGGGTTGAACGATCCCCGCGGCGTCAGGAACCAACGCCCATGACGACACGGCAGGAACTGCCGCACGCACAGTCAGGCCCACCATTCCAGGGCTCGCTTCGATTCCTCCGATCCGAATCGATTCTGCTCCGATTGACGAACCAACAACACGCACCCATACCCATAGGGGGGTCGGAGAAGGCTATCGGGGCGTGTTGTCGGATGGGGGTCCCCGCTCGAACGGGAGCCTTCCCCAGGTCCGACAACCCGCACCCATACCCCTAGCCAGTCCTCCTCCCAACGACCCCCCTATGGGTATGGGTGTGTGTTGTTCGTTCGTCATCGATGGCTTCCGATTCTGATTCGATTCGGCTTGGGGTTCCGATGTGGATTCCGATTTCTCGTTGGAGGCACACTAGCCTGCCGAGTGCCGCCGATTCGACTCGACTTGCCCCCACTCGCGTGCCGAGTTCGGCCGATCCGATTTACTTCGGTCACCGATCCGATTCACTTCGATCACCGATCCGACTGATTGGTTCGATTCTGAGCTCTCTTGCCACTCCTTTCGAAGGAGGACGACGTGGTGAAGACCGCCACGATGAAGTCGACGAAGAGCAAGGCCCCCCCGAAGACGGCTGCCAGCTCGGAGCCGGCGGAGCCTTGGGACCCCGACGCCCCCACGGTCATCACGGTGCGCGTCCGAGTCCCGCAGTTGGTGGGCCCGCCGCAGGACTCGGGGGCACCCTTACGCTTCGAGGTTCGAGGCTCTTGGGCGTCTTCGTCGGTTCTCGGTGGCTTCCCGGCCTGGGGGTGCCTTCCAGCGGCTGCGCCTCGCCGCGAGCGTTCCGGGGCTGCCCGGATCGTCCCGGACGGCCGCCCGAGGCCCGAGTCATGATCTGAGGACCATCGGGGAGTGGGCTCGGAGTGGGAGCGCATCGACACCCAACGGCCCACTGGTCGCCGTCAGGGGCCAGATAGCCCCCTGCCCCGCCCAGGAGCGTCTGGCCTCGCTGATCGGGGGCCCAGCGCCGATCCATCGGCGATCCCTCGCCGACGTTCCCCTCCCCGAGCTGGTGCTTTCCCAACCTTGCCCGTCGAGGACAGGGGAAGCTGGGTGAAGGTCACGGCGGGCGTGAGGGGCGTCTTCGCCTTGCCCGAGCCCTTGGTGGCCCTGAACGGGGGCGACGTTGAGGCCCACCCGCTGAGGTACCAGGGCGTGCTGATGGGCCAGGCTCGGGCCGGACGAGAGGGAGGGCACTGGGAAAAGGGGCAGGGGGGGAGGGGGGGGCGGGGCTGCGTAGGGGGGAGAGGGGGGTTAGCGCAAGGGGGGTTATGGGGGGCGAACCCAGCTCGAGGCTCTGGGCGATGTTCCCCCAATTCCACCTCTGCCCTAAAACCCCACCTCTGCAGCCTACCCGCAGATGTAAGAAGGATGAGCAGCTTTCCAAGGCCGCCCTTGCATCCTTGCCCCTTCGGCCGGCCCATCCTCAGCGACTTCCGCTGGCCAGCCTCGCTCGAACAACGCCCACGTGGCCCTGCAAGGCCCTCACACCCTTGCCGCGCAGCCTTGCCATGCGGCCGACTGTTGGCACGCACCTCCGAGGGGGGCGGAGCCCGCTGCGTGCAGCCCGCTCGAGGGCCCCGCCGCCGGGCGACACGCCCCCCGTGCGGCGCTCCTTGGGCGCCCAGCGTCGCAGGGAGGCGCGGGGCGGCTCCGCCCGCAGGGGGCGCCATCGAGTGCGAGCCTGGCCCGGCAACGGGTCCCCCCACGCGGCCTCTGGGCCCGCTGGGCCCCGCGTCCGGGGCGGCAAAGGGGGGGGGGGGGCGTGAGGACTGGGGGTTATGTCGGGCGAGTCCCCCCTGCAGGGGCATCTTCGACGAAAGCTAGAAGATACTTTCAAGATGCACCAACAAGGTAACACAAATATTCAAAAACCAGTCCCCAGACTATTTTTGGATCATGTTTTATTATTTCTGGAGTATTGTTATAGTTTTCGTCGAAAATCCCCCTGTAGGGGGACAGGCCCGCCTCAAGACTGGGGGGGTGGGGTATCCTGGCGTGGGCCCGGATGTTGCCCAGATGTCATGGCGCCGTCTCTTCTTTCGTTGCGTGTCCCCGGCCCGCCGCTGGGCCGCGCACAGGCCGCCGGCCGTTGCGCCCGCCCGGGCTTGGACGCCCCTCTTGCGGCCAGCCCCGACCGTGGCACCCTGCGAAGCTCGGGGGGGCGCAGGGTGCCTTTTCGTCCTCTTCCCCAGGTTGCCCGTCGCCTCCGTGTCTCTTCTCCTCCTGGGCGCTGCGTCTCGTGTTCCCGCGCGCCCTCCTCCTCCTCCTCCTCCTCCTCCTCCTCCTCCTCCTCCTCCTCCTCCTCCTCCTCCTCCTCCTCCTCTCTGCCTGTCTTCGTGTATCTGGGGCGGCTTTGGCGGCGATGGGCGGATACATCGTCCTTCAATGTTGTATCTCGATCGGCCCGCGATCGTTCCTCGAAGCTCGTTGCCGGTAGCCTCGAGGGCATCATGCAAACGGAAACATCTCATCGTATGTGCCATGTGCCTACGGTGGTGGCGTTCGTTAAGGAGTGTGCCCGGGAGGCTTCAGACCCTGGGGGGGTCCTTATGTGATACGGGCGGCGGCGATGTCCATGGCCAATCCACGATTGGAGTTCCTCCAGCTTCCAGACCCTGGATTCCTTATCCAGTGATCATTATCCAATGCTTCACCGTACTGTATACGTGCGCCGCTTCTCTGACCCCCGCTTCACTACGGTCCGGAACTTTGGCTTAGCGTGTCGCTCCGCAGGTTTTGGCCCACCACGCTTTGGCGCGACACGATATCCACGTACCAGTCCCCGAGCGTCCACTGTCCAAGTCTTTCTGGGCCCCCCGCCCAGCGGAGCCGAAAGACGCGCTCTCCGTGTGCAGGGGATCGTGTATTGCTGGGACCGCCGCCGCGACGCCATCCAAAAGTTCCTGACCGTACTCAGACATCCAGCTGCTCCAATTTTTACAATGCGTGGGCCCTGGAGGTCCAGACCACTTCCACATGGCGAGCTTTTCGTCCTAAGTAGTGTGTTGACGCTCCCGAGGCCCAGCGAGGGCCCCCAGAGGCCGAACACGGCCAAAAACCGCCCGCTCCAATTTTTCTGGGGCGTCGGATCTCTGGGTACCCTCCCCCTCCTTCTTCCTCCTCCTCTTCTTCACCTCCTCCTCCCCTCTCCTCTCTCGCCGGGGAATAGAAACTCGTCCCTCCTCCTCCTTTCCCTCCCTCCTCCTCCTCCTCCTCCTCCTCCTGCTCCTCCTCCTCCTGCTCCTCCTCCTCCTCCTCCTCCTCCTCCTCTTCCTCCTCCTCCTCCTCTACATTTTAACAGCATGAATACTACTCTCCTCTCTCCCCAGATGACGTCCGGGATATGTTCGGCCCCCTTCCGCATATTGTTTTTGTTTTACAACGGATTTGCGGGAGTTGGGTTTTTGCGAGGGTCTCTTCCAAAATTTTGTTCCCGCTGAAGTTCCGGCCTCATTTTCGGCTTTCCGCTCGTTCCTAATGGTGCTCCCGCTACAGCGCTGGCCTCATTTCCGCGCTTCCGCTCGTTCCGAATCGTGCTCCCGCTGCAGCGGTGGCCTCATTTCCGCGCTTCCGCTCGTTCCGAATCGTGCTCCCGCTGCAGTGTTGGCGTTATTATTTCCAGTGCCATGCCGCGGCATACAATGCAATGCTATGGTGTTCCGCTGTGCGATGCCATGTCTTCAGCTGCAGTGCTAGGATATGCAGTGCTTGGCTACGCAGTGCCACGCCATGCTATGCCATGCTGCGCTTTGATCGTCAACCCCATGCTATGCTATGCCATGTTCTGTTATGTGCCGCTGTGCGATGCCATCATTTGCGTTGCAATGCTTTGTGATGCAAGTATTCACTACGCAACGCCACGCCATGCTATGACGCTATGACATGCTACGGTCTGCCGTGCTTCTCTACGCCCTGCTATGCCGTGCTCTATGATGCGTCGCGCACCCTCTAATGATCATTGCCCTGCTGCTCGGCATCCGACTGTGCGAATATAGAGAGGACATCTACGCCATGGTATGGGATGGGAGGGAGAGGTAGGCCGTCAGACATGACGCGAACGCACCTGGCTTGTCCTCCCCCTTTCCTCTCTCGCCTTCCTGCTTGTTTGTCGTCTGTCCCCCTGCTCTCCCTCCCGTCCCGTCCCGTCTGGCCGGGCAGGCTCTCGGCGAGGGGTCGCTGACCAAGCCCGCGGGCGGCGCGGACGCGGCGGTGGCGGGCGGCCCCGACGCGGCGGGCGCGGAGCTGCCCGAGGCCGAGTGGCGGGCTCTGCAGGAGCTGACTGCTCCGCCTGTGCGCTTTTGAGGAGGCGGAGGGAGGCGGAGGAGGAGGAGGAGGAGGAGGAGGAGAAGGAGGAGAAGAGAGGGAGGAGGAGGGGGAGAAGGAGGGGGAGAGGAGGAGGAGGAGGAGGAGGAGGAGGAGGAGGAGGAGAAGGAGAGAAGGAGGAGGAGGAGAAGGAGGAGGAGGAGGAGGAGGAAGAGGAGGAAGAGGAGGAGGAGGGGTGCTTTGCAGGAGCTCACCGCCCCGTCCGTGCGTTTCAAGGGCGGGGACGCCATGGCGTTCGAGGGACGAAATGCATAGATATAGCCGTCTGGAGGTCCGCGCTGATTTCTCGGATCGGCGCTGGGGCCCTCCTGCGGCGCCTCCAGCGCCGCCCTTGGCGTGCTCCGCGCGCCAGGAAAGGGGGGCGCAACGCCGAAATCCGTGCGGACCTCCCGAAGTCGATGCTGATGCCGTGCTTTGTTCTCTGAGGTGTGGTACCGGGGCGCGGGCTTCATCCGAGACTTTCAGCACATGCTCAACAGCGTCGGGGGCGTGTGGTTCCACCTGGCGCTGGAAGAGAAGGCCCCCCCGGACCCGAAGAAGGCGGCCCAGGCCGCGCCCGCCATCGCTGAGCTCGCCAGGCGCTACGGCGGCAAGGCCTGGCTTGACCTCACCGGCCTGATCCGCCCGGGCGTCCACTCTGTGGTGGCGTGTTGCCCGCTGCAGGACACGGCCAAGGAGCAGCTCGACGGCGTCGCGACTCTGAGCGCCTCGCGCACCTTCGTGTCGATGTCGCTGCAGCTCGACCGCGAGCTCACGCCCCCGACGCCCGCCGCCGCCCACACGCCGCTGCATGAGCTGCTGCCCGAGCGCCCCGCCCTGAACAGGCTTCGGCGGACGAAGAATCTGCACACGGTCGGGTCGTGTCGTGCTGACGCAGCAGCGATTCCGCCGCGGGCGCTCAAGGCTGAACGCCGCCAGTGGCCCAGAATCGGCCAATATGGATCTGTCTGGCGGCCATCGTCGATCGTTCAAGGTGAACGATCCAAGCGGTGTCTGTAACAAACGCAGGGGTCCTCACGACGCGAACTTGCCGTAACACACACAAACTGTCTGAGGTCCGCGCGGGTTTCGTGGAGCGGCGCTGGATCCCCCGGCGGCGCCCCTGGCGCGGCCGTGGCGCGCTCCGCGCGCGGGGGCGGCGGGCCCAACGCCGATCGAAGAAGTCCGCGCGGACCTCCGAAAGTTCGCAGTCAAGACGCTGGGCCGAGGGCCACGTGGGGCTCGGGAGGGGCTCAGGGCTTCGGGCCGTCCCCCAGATCCAGGTCGGGGGACGTGTTCGTGGCCCAGGCTCGCCGCGGCCAGGAGAGCCCCGTCGTTCCCGTCTTCGGCACTCCCCACGGGACCCGATGACTGGTCTTATAGGAACGTTTGCCTGACGTGTCGCGCCGCTGGTTCTGGTCCACCGCGCTTCGGCGTGACGCGCCAGCCATGTCCCAGTCGCCGAGCGTCAGCGTCCCGAGGCTGTTCCAGCCTCCCGCCCCGCGGAGCGGAGCGTCACGCTGTTGGCCTGAATACAGCGTGTCGCCGCGGCCGCCGCCGCGACGATAAGCAATAGCTCCCGACCGTAAGGGTCAGGACTGGAAGAAACACACAGACACAACTAATCGTCGATTCCCCAGAAGTATGGGAAAATATGGGAGGTGGGGGGGAAGACAGAAACCCAGAAAGTATGGGAAAGCATCGGGATTCCTGTTAGTTGTATGTATTTATTTGTGTGTCCAAGGGCCCCTTCAAAGGGCATCGTCGCCGGTACCGCGACTCACCGGACCTCTCCCGGGGTACGTCTTGACCAGATGTAATTTCGACGCGACTCCAGCGGAGGAGGCGCGGGCTTCCCAGGAGGCCCAGGGAGGCGAGAACGACGCAAGGGTCGCGGTATCGGCGCCTCTTCTTTCAGGAGGGGACGAAACACACAGACACAATTAATCGTCGACTCCCTGGAAAATCTGGGAAAATGTGGGAAGTGGGGGGGAAGACAGAAACCCAGAATATATTGGAAAATATGGGGATTCCTGTTATTTGTGTATTAATGTGTGTGTGTGTGTGTGCGTGTGTGTGTGTGTGTGTGTGTTTGTGTGTGTGCGTGTCCCAGGGCCCCTTCATCTGAGCCTCTCCTTCTCCCAAGGTTCCCCTCCTCCGACGACGCCGCCGCCGCCTACCGCGGCGCCGTGAAGAGGGCGTTCGGGGTCGTCTGCCGGGAGCTGCCCGGGGGAGTGCAGGGCGGGCCTCCCGGCGCCGCCGACGCCCTGCGGGACTCCGGCGTCTACAAGGGCTGCAAGGACGAGAGGGGCTCGATGTGCACAGCAGGGGCGTGGAAGAGAGGGCCCTCGTGGGCCCCGAGGGGAGGCGAACGGGGGAGGCCCGGAGGATGGCGAGAGGAAGACAGAGGAGGGAGGAGGAGAGACGAGCAGGAGGAAAGAGGAGGAGTGAGGAGGAGAGACGAGGAGGAGGAGGATCAGGACCAGGAGGAGGAGGAGGAGGAGGAGGAGGAGGAGGAGGAGGAGGAGGAGAGGCCGTGGGATTGTGGAGTATCTCAGTGTTCCAGAGGGTTTTTCTTTTACGAGCTTGCACCCTTCCCTTCATCATTACCCTTATCGTACCCCTCTCTATGTATGAATAGATGCACTCCTTTCTTAAGCTGTACCGTTATTCATGCCGATGCGATGCCAATACATTGCCAATCAATGCCAATGCAATGCCAATTGGGGATTCGTTTCTTTCGGTGGATTTCGATGAGAAACCTTCTCTGGAATATAAATATATGGACGCCCCCCACATGATCATCCATATTCGTCTCTACCGCGGCCGCCGACCGATATCTTCACTCTCCGTGTCCTTCTTCTCCCCCTATCCCTCCTCCTCTTCCTCCTCCTCTTCGGAATCAGCGAAATCGCGAAAACCACCGAAAAGCTTTAGAGAACAGAAAAAAACAAAGAAACCCCCCAAAACACTATTTCGGCCCCTCTTCCCAGACGTTCTCCCGAAATGGTGTTCTTTTTTTTGGGGGGGGGGTGTTGTTTTGTTTGTTTTCTGAAGCTTTTCTGTGGTTTTCGCGATTTCGCTGATTCCGAAGAGGAGGAGGAAGAGGGGGAGGTGGTGCCCCCTCCTCTCCGCTTCGTGGCGTTACTCACAAATCGAATTGTGAACGCCGCTCCACAACTAGTTTTGCAAGTAACCTCCTGCTACGAAACATTACTCACAAAACTAGTTGTGAACGCCGCTCAACAACTACCTTTGTGAGTAACCTGTTCCTCCTCACCTTCGTCATGCTCCTCACCCTCCTCTTCTTCCTACTCATCCTGCTCCTCCCCCCTCCGCCTCCTCCTGCTCCTCCTCCTTCTCTTCTTCACTCAGCCCCCTCCTCTCCGCTTCGAGGCGTTACTCACAAATCTAGTTGTGAACGCAGCTCCACAACTTGATTTGCAAGTAACCTCCTGCCACGAAACATTACACAAAACTAGTTGTGAACACCGCTCCACAACTAAGTGTGTGAGTAATGTGTTCCTCCTCACCTTCGTCATGCTCCTTACCCTCCTCTTCTTGTTCCTACTCATCCTGCTCCTCCCCCCTCCTCCTCCTTCTCCTCTTCACTCAGCCCGCTCCTCTCCGCTTCGAGGCTTTACTCACAAATCTAGCTGTGTACGCAGCTCCACAACTTGATTTGCGAGCCACCTCATGCTACGAAACATTTCTCACAAAACTAGTTGCGAACGCAGCTCCACAACTAGTTTTGTGAGTAAGTAACCTGTTCCTCCTCACCTTCGTCATGCTCCTCACCCTCTTCTTCCTCCTCACCCTCCTCCTTCTGCTGCTCCTGCTCCTGTTCATTCTGCCCCCTCCTCTCCGCTTCGAGGCGTTACTCACTAATCGAGTTGCGAACGCAGCTCCGCAACAAGTTTTGCGAGCAACCTTCCACTACGAAGCATTACTCACAAAACTAGTTGTGAACGCCGCTCCACAACTAGTTTTGGGAGTAACCTGTTCCTCCTCACCTTCGTCATGCTCCTCACCCTCCTCGTCTTCCTCCTCGCCCACCTCCTTCTGCTGCTCCTGCTCCTGTTCATTCTGCCCCCTCCTCTCCGCTTCGAGGCGTTACCCACTAATCGAGTTGCGAACGTAGCTCCGCAACAAGTTTTGCGAACAACCTTCCGCTACGAAACATTACTCACAAAACTAGTTGTGAACGCCGCTCCACAACTACCTTTGTGAGTAACCTGTTCCTCCTCACCTTCGTCATGCTCCTCACCCTCCTCTTCTTCCTCCCCACCCTCCTCTTCCTCACCTGCCTCCTCCTGCTGCTCCTGCTCATGCACATTCTGCCTGTTGCTCTCCGCTTCGAGGCGTTACTCACAAATCCATTTGCGAACGCAGCTCCACAAGCAGGTGAGTGAGTAATGTGTTGTGCCTCGCCCTCGTCATGCTCCTCATCCTCCTCGCCTTCCTCCTCCTCGTCCTCCTTCTCCTCCTCCAGCTCCTTCTCTTCGCCCTTCATCCCGCCCCCTTCTCAAAGGGTTCCTATTGAAACCCATGACAAAAAGAAAAATGAGGCGGATGATGATGAGGAGGAGGAAGATGAGGCGGACGATGAGAAGGTCCCTACTGAACGCCACCACAGAAGGATTCCTCGTGAAATCCTCCACAGCAGGGTGACACCCTTCACAAGAAGGAGACGTAGGCGGATTAGGAGGGTAAGGGAAATGAGGCGGATAAGGAGGAGGAGGAGGAAGGAGGAAATCCTCCACATAAGGATTCATATTGAAATCCCCCGCGGAAAGATCCTATTGAAATCCTCCGCAGAAGTATTCCAATTAACATCCTTCACAGAAGAAGTCTTACAGAAATCCGCCACATAAGGGTTCGTGTTGAAGCCTTTCACAACAAGGAGACCTAGGCGGATGAGAAGGAAGTGGAGGAGGAACATGAGGCGGATGAGAAGGAAGAGGAGGAGGAGGAGGAAGATGAGGCGGATGAGGACGAGGGGGGGAGGGGGGAGACGATCCTCAAGAAAAGGACTCCTAGTGATCGATTGCAACGGAGCCGATTGGATTGCAAAGCGCCGCGAAAGATTGCAGTCGCTTCGCATTGAAGCGTTTGGAATGCAATCCTGCCGCGTTCCTTCCAGTCGGTGCCAACCCCTTGGCGTGCAATGTATTTGGTTACACCGGTTCAGGCGACAATCGACTAGGTTGTGGCTGGCAAAGCAGCAAAACAGAAGAAGAGCAGGAAGAGGGAAGGGGGAGGGAGGCCTGGAGGGATGAAGGGAGATTGTGTCTGATCGTGCGGGGGGCGATCATATATATATATATATATATATATATATGTGTATATACAAATATATATATACGCATATACAAAGTGTCAGCAGGAGCCCTTCTGCGGAGAGAGCCATGAGGACTCGCCATTGAAATTCCAGCGCCATGCTAAAGCAGCGCCAACGCAATGCCAAACCAGTGCCAAGGCCAAGGCGACCCCAATCCAATGCCAATGCCATGCCAATCGGGGCAATCCTTTGTGGTAGATTTCAAGAAGCAAATCCTTTGGGGGGTTGCAACAGGAATCCTTTTGCGACGGGAGGCACTGGACCCCGCCAGCGCAATGCCAGCGCAATGCCAGCAGCAGTCCCAACGCAATGCCAGCGCAATGCCAGCGCAATGCCAATGCGATCCCAAATCCGATGCCACTGCAGTGTCGTTGGGGGGCAATCCTTTGTGGTAGATTGCAACAAGATTTTTTTTTGCGGGGGGTCTCAATAGGAACCCTTCTGCGAATGGGACATTAGGACTCGCCAGCGCAATGCTAAACAAGTGCCAACGAAAGGCCAAACCAATGCCAAGGCGACCCTAATCCAATGTCGATGCTATGCCGCTGTGGGCAATCCTTCGTGGTAGATGTCAATAAGAATCCTCTTGGGGTTGCAGCAGGAATCCTGCTGTGACGGGAGGCACTGGAACTCGCCAGCTCAATGCCAGCGCAATGCCACAGCAGTCCCAACGCAATGCCAGCGCAATGCCAATGCGATCTCAAATCCGATGCCAGTGCAACGCCGTTGGGGGCAATCCTTTGTGGTAGATTTCAAAAGGAACCCTTTTTGCGGAGGGTGTCGGCAAGAACCTCTCTGCGAAGGGGGGCATTAGAGCTCGCCAGCGCAATGCTAAAGCAGTGCCAACGAAAGGTCAAACCAATGCCAAGGCGACCCCAATCCAAAGCCAATGCTATGCCGCTGGTGGGCAATCCTTTGTGGTAGATTTCAAAAAGAATCCTCTCCCTGGTTGCAGTAGGAATCCTTATGCGGCGGGGGGCATTGGAACTCGCCAGCGCAATGCCAGCGCAATGTCACAGCAGTCCCAACGCAATGCCAGCGCAATGTCAATGCGATCCCAAGCCAGAAGCGAATGCAACGCCGTCCGGGGCAATCCTGGCAGAGTTCAAAAGGAACATTTTGTTTTCGGGGGGGTCAGTTGGAATCCTTCGGCGAAGGGAGGCACTAGGACTCGCCAGCTCAAGGCCAGCGTAATGCCATTGCACTTCCAACGCAATGCCAGCACAATGTCAAACCAATGCCAATTGGGGGCATCCTCCATTGGCGTAGTTCAATGAGAATCCTCCTGGGATTATGTCGTTGCGAACCCATGTTCGGAGGATTGCAGTGGGAATCCTTAGGTGCAGGGCTTCGAATGCAATCCTTCTTTGGGGGATTTCAAAGTTTATCCTTCTTGTGTGGGGTGGTGGAGGGGGGGGGGTCGCTAGGCATCCTTCTTGTTGGGGTGGATTAATAAGACTGTGCCACTGGAGCGTCCGATGAGGACGCGCCAGTGCAATGCCAACGCAGCGCCAACGCAATGCAAAACCAACGCCATGGCGATCCCAATCCACTGCCAATGCAATGCGAATAGGGGCAATCCTCTGTGGCGGATTTCAATCGGAACCCTCTTTTGTGGAGGGTGCCAAGTGGATGGTGTCAATCGGGATCCCTCTGCGAAGGGAGTAAGCGGACTCGCCAGCGCAATGCCAAGACGATCCCAACCCAATGCCACTGCAATACCAGCTGGGGAAATCCTCTGTGGTAGATCCAGGAGGAATCCTTCAGTAGAGGGCTTCGCATGGAATCCTCCCGCGGAGATTTTCAATCTGAACCCTTTTTTGAGGGTTCCACTAGGAGTCCTTCTTGTAAGGGGTTTCACTGGGAGTCCTTCTGTGGAGGGTTGCATCAGGATTTGTCAACGCAATGCTTGCGAAGTGCCGGCGCAATGCCAGCACACTGCAAAGCACAATCCGAGCG